TACCCAAGATCACAAGCAGTTGGACTCAAATCTCATTTGTTCATTGATCTTAGGTGCGTACAGTTATTGCTATTAAATTTATAAAAACTTTGTCTCTTGTTGACTAATACAGTGTTGTTTGACCACATAAACAGAAATGATAAGAGAGGAGCCCAGTGCCAAAATTGGGCTTATCCAAGAAAGGATCGCTACTAGCCTTGGATTCCATATATCGTATAGGAAGGCATGGAAGGCAAAGCAAAAGGCTATTGTGAAAGTATTTGGTGACTGGGACGAGTCGTATGCGTTCTTACCTAGGTGGCTGGATTACATGTTGCGTTTTTCTCCTGGATCCGCATATAAGCTGGATTTGCATGACCATTTCATTGATGGTTGCCTAGACCAAGCTCACAAGGTTTTCAGAAGGGTGTTTTGGACATTTAAACAGTGTTGTGAAGCATTTAATTATTGCAAGCCAATCATCCTGATGGATGGAACCCATCTATATGGCAAATATCGTGGGACCCTAAGGATTGTTACAGCAGTTGATGGCAACAATTACATTCTTCCAATTGCATTCGCTATCGTGTCTTCGGAGAATACTGACAACTGGTCGTGGTTCTTAGCACTTATTCGAATACATGTTACGCAAGAACACGTGATCTGTCTGATTTCTAATCGGCATGCGGGAATCTTGTCTGCAGTCAACAATGCTGATCTAGGATGGTCTCCACCACAGGCATATCATGTGTATTTCCTTCGCCACGTGGCCAGTAATTTCAATCACAAGTTCAAGAATGTCATGTTGAAGAAGCAGTTGAAGAAGTTAGGTATGTTTTCAATTTGTCTGATTCGTATAATGGACCACTGATAGTAATGTTTTTGTGTGTGCTATGTGTAGGATATACAACATCGCGCTTGGACTTTGATGCTGGTTTAGAGAACATGTTACGCAAACCCTCGATACGCGAACGTCGAGTACGACGCTGGACAGGCGAAGGGTCCTGTGTATTACGTACCACCGGTGGGGCTGCGGGATCACTAGGATCTGTCAATCTGGTCATATCATCACACGCGGCAACTACCCTGAGTGCCTCGTGATAAATCTGATCCATAGAGAACGATACCCGACCCTCTGGCGAAGCCATATGGACCACCGTCTCCGCGCGATCAGCCTGTAGTACATACATGAATTAACTTGTTAGTGACTGTGAAACAAGTTTATAAAACCACAACAGTCAATAGTATTACAACATACCACGTGCGTCGCAATCGCAGCCCTGCGGGTCATCCATCGACGGGTCACTCTATGAAACCACCCCATATACTCACTGTTAACAGATATGTGGCTCTCATCATTATGCGCAAGAGGCAAAAGCTCCTGTAGTACCAGAGAATCCCTATCCTCCCACTGAGAGATAAAGAATCCATGTCTCTCCCTCCAATCTACGTCTGTCTTACCAGTAATCCTAATCGTCAACAGGTCAAGACAACTAATCAGAGCATGTGGAACAGGCTGCTGAAATCCAAACTGCCGTAGAACTCGATCGGGCTACTAATAGACAACGACCTGGTAACAAATAAGTGGACAGACAGAGATCCATCTGCGGACGGTGTCAGAAGGTGGTGGATTACCTTCGAAACCCAGGTATGGTCTCCAACAAAACTCACGTCTGCGCATAATGTCCAGACGATGCCGGTACCTGCAAATGTGTGTACACACAGTCTGCCGCACATCATAACTGTTAAACCTGCAACAAATAGTCCACATATATTACCATACAATAACCGCAAAAATATTAACAGCCTGCAATTTGAATAATTTACATAAACAACAGTGCAATTACCTGAGTCCATAAGCAGCATGCTCATCAGTGACTTCGGGTACTCCAGGAGAGATAGGCGGGAATCTGGTCCACGCCAAAATTGCAATAAGAGTGCACAACCACCCATTTTAGAACGTCTCCTGTCAGTCACTTTGCACAATTCCTTATATAAGACGGCGAGAACTGCAGAGCCCCAACTACAGGTTCCACACCGCTGGAAATTATCCAAATATGTTAAATATCTCGCAGGAACGAAGCTGGAAGCAGTGTCCACAAACAGTGTCCCCCCGAGTATGCGCAAAATTAGTGCGCAAGTATATCTCATACGGTCAACCTCAGTGTTTGCGTGGCCTGCATAATCCCGAAACTTCTGTCGTAGGAAGTGGAGACCCAACAAACCTCCAGACAAATCCCTACCAGCCAGTGGATCAACGCCTAAGTAGTCATTGACCAACTGCTTAAATGGATATCGTCCGTGGCGCCCGGACACAACCTCACCATCAGTGGGCAATCTTAGTAGATGATGCACATCCTCCAGGGTAATGGTGACCTCGCCCATCCTCATATGAAATGTCCGTGTCTCTGGGCGCCATCGCTCGACAAGCGCAGACACAAGCGCATGGTCTATCTGAAATCATAAAAAATATGTGGTCAATCAGCAATAAAAATATTATTATTACAATGCCATATTCCAAAGTCAGGATATAGTGATACAATAAAAAATTACTAACCTCATGGTTGCGCAATCGCGTAATATGGTAGAAGCCAGCCTACCTCAGCCATGGCTCAATCTCTTCAGGAATGGCACTGTGATCATGTGTCGCAGCATGTCGCACATTAATCACACGATCCTGGACATTCGGATCCTCACAGGTGTTCCACACATGTGTGGATATATGTTTCTCCTGTAAAGTTAGGAGAGTCTTGTCTGAAGGCCCAGGGTCAATCACGCTGCGTGGAGACCCAAGACAAGGTGCCTCATCATGCTCCATATCTAAATAAATTAATACAAAACAATTAAATTAATATTCATCAACAAAGAATTCATAAATATTTAGCTAAATAAATTAAATTAATAAAAGCACAATTCAATAGGTTTTTCTCCATTTAAGTTTCTGCTTTAACTAAATTAAAAATTATTGCTAACCTATCGTTTCTAAAATCAACAGTAACTAACATTGAAATAAGTATTAAAGCATAAATAATAAATTAAATTAATTAAACCTACGATTTTATGCGTTAATAGATTCACATAATTTCCAACCTAAGGTTTCAAAAATTTAAGAATTAAACAATATTTCTAAATTATTAACGTTTATAAATTAATTAAAAAATTTAATTATGTAGACCTAACCATTCATTTATGTGTAAAATAAATTAACACATTTATTAACCTAATGGCTCAAATACCAACATTAAATAATACTAACACATTTTACTAGCCTAAGGTTTCAAAACCCTAAACCCTAAATCTAAATTTATAAATTATTAATGTTTATAAATTAATTAAAAAATTTAATTATGTAGACCTAATCATTTATTCATGCGTAAAATAAATTCACACATTTATTAACCTAACCTTTCAAATACCAACATTAAATAATATTCACAAAATATTACAGCATAAATAAAAAATTATTTATATTAGCCTAAGCATTATAGCGTGGAATTAATTAACACATTTTACTAGCCTAAGGTATCAAAAACCAAAATTAAATAACATTACACATGTATTAAAGCTTAAATAATAAATTAAATAAATTATATCTAATCATTTATGCATGATTTAAAATTATCACATTTACTAGCCTAAGGTTGGAAATATCAACATTAAATAATATACCACATTCACTAACCTAAAGTTTCAAGTATCAACACTAAATACTATAACATATTTACTAACCTAAAGTTTCAAGCCTAAACACTAAATAATATAACATATTTACTAATCTATTGTTTCAAGTATAAATATAAAATAATATAACACATTTATAAAAACATAATTAATGAAACAAACATATTATAAAAGCAATAAAAAAAAAAAGATACTAACCTTGTAGAGAGAAAGCACTTAGAGAGAGAGGGAGTGAGGGTGAGGATGAGAGGAAATGGTGGGGGAGGGGTGGGGACCGTGGGATTTATATAGGAAAAAACTTGCAAATAATTCGCTACCCTTGGTAGCGAATTTGTGCAAAGCTGCCATGTGTCTGACATGCGCAGTGCAGCAGGTGACCGTTGCCACGTATTTCGCTACATAGTGTAGCGAAATATGGGTGGCTTGACACGTGTCCAAAAGGTGACTGACCAGGCTGACCTTTTGACACGTATTTCGCTACACTGTGTAGCGAAATACGTGGACCAGTGGAGAGGTGACACATCAGCAGGCCTAATTCGCCACATTGTGTAGCGAATTAGCCTACGTGGCAGTTTGGGAATTTTTACTGTGCGCGTGGCATTCTGGTAAATTTTATGATGAACAGTGGCAAAATGGTCACTGTTCCTAATGAGTTAAGTAGCTTGATTAAGACTTAAACATTTCTCATTTTAGGTCTCCATCTTCCCCAAACCGCCGCCACCACCATTGATAATCATCTTGGAAACCTAGTTTGAGCTACAATACATTAAACATCTTGGTTTTTGAAGCAAAAGTGCATAGAATCGGCAAAAAAATTAAAATAATGCATTTAAATCAAATAATTACGCATTTAATGCTGTTTTTTTAAATAATTACGCATCTGATGCACAATGTGACGCCAGTTTTGGGCGTCACATGTGACGCCCAAAAGTGGCGTCACATGTGTGCTCTATATGTTCCCCCACCCCCTCCATTCAATTCACACCTCTTCTCTCACTCTTCATATCTCTCTTCTCCACCAAAATTCCTTGTTCTTTAATTTAGCATTTGAATTTTATTTCTTATTCTATTTAAAAATGAGCTCAAATCCTGATTCTGTTCGTGTTGTGTTATATTACAATGGTAGGAAGGTAGAAGGTCAACGAGGTGTCATCTTCGAAGGTGAAAAAAGGCCGACACGTATCCAACGCAACGCAACCATTGGCGAACTGCATCAGAGAATTCGGCAGAAGTTAAGTCTTCAAGACAACCAATGTATCACTCAGATCACGACAAGGTTATGGCGATGTGATAAATACATTAGTTTGCAAGTGGTTGACGATGAAGACCTGGAGATGACAATGGAAGAATTTTTCAATCAGTCAAGGAGGGATTTTCTGGAGTTGTATGTCGACATCGCCGCAACCGAGAATGTTCCTTTACCGGTGATGTCAGTTGATTTAAATTCTACCCGTCTTCCAGCTTCGCCTGCCGCTCATGCGTCTCCAGTTGGTAACTTTTCTGGCAGAGGATGCTAGTGCTTCAGAAGGAGATGAACCCCGTGAGATGGGTGCGTCTCAAATCCCAATATTCCATCAACCAGTCGTCGCGCAAATGTCGCAGTTGCATGACGTTGCGTCTGCCCCGTTAGGTATTCACCATGAAGGTAATTGAAATAAATTGTATATAGCTGAATAGATACCTCCTTTAATACCTGAATTAGGAAGTTTGTATTAAAAAGTTATAATCCGCAGTTGCAGGTGACGAAGCTGTTATTCCTTTTTGGGAAGGAATTCTGCATTATTCCTACATTGATTGGAGTTATCGGAGTGAACAAGAATCATGCACTGTTGGTACGGTTTCAGGATCGGGTTCAATACAAGGTTCGTGGCAACTGGGTGACAAGTTATTTGTCAATCAAGAATTTGCAACAAAAAAAGATGTCCAAATGGCACTTAAGCACCACCTTATTAGGGAGCATCAAGAAGCAATTGTAATTTAGAGCACGCCTGCAAAGTTGTCCATGAAATGTTGTGCGTATGATAAAGGTTGCCCGTGGCGTGTCAGGGCGATCAAACCGGTGTTTGGTGAAAATTGGAAGATTACGAGATGGGGTGAAAATCACGATTGTTTGAATGAGCACATTTCCCAGGGACATAGACAGCTCGATGCGGACGTTATTGTAGATCTCGTCATAGGTACGTATTTATTTATTTGTATGACATGTCAACATTTTCGTGCTGTGTAATTAAATTCGTTCGATGTAATCGAGTCTGGGTCATCTTCAATGCAGGGATGATTAAGGAAGAACCATCTGTGTCAATCTCTTTGGTTCAAGAAAGGATAACCGCTAAATATGGCTTTAAAGTTTCCTACAGAAAGGCGTGGTATGCGAAGCAGAAAGCGATGGCAATTATGTACGGTGATTGGGAGGAATCGTATGCTTTTTTGCCAAGGTGGTGCGAATACATGCTTCGCTTTTCTCCAGGTTCTTTTTATCATATACACACAAATGATCTTTATGCCGAGCAGAGCTTAGCTACTGGAAAAAAAGTTTTTCATCGCATATTTTGGACGTGTAGACAGTGTTGTGAGGCGTAAAATTTGCCAAACCCGTCATACAAATTGATGGAACACATTTATATGGGAAGTACAAAGGCAAATTGTTGGTGGCCACAACCCAAGATGGTAATGATGAATGCTTACCGATCGCTTTTTCCATTGTTGAAGGCGAAACCTTGGAAGCATGGGATTATTTTCTTGTTAATATTCGTGCTCATGTTACTACAATGTCAAACATATGTTTGATCTCCGATCGGCATCGAAGCATAATATCTGCTGTGGAAAATAACCCTAATTGGCAGCCGCCAAATGCATATCACGTCTTCTGTATTCGTCATATTGCACGCAACTTCAATCAAAAGTTTTGGAATGAAGGTTTGAAGCGGATGTTAAAGAATTTAGGTATACTCATTGACACGATGAGTTATTATTTCTTTTCATTATGGCTGAAAATTTATTTTTAATGCGATCATGTACAATATATGCAGGTTATACGCCCGCCATGGTTGATTTTGAGAGGAATCTTGCGAGTTTCCGTGAAAGTAGTCCTCAAATTGCTGAGTGGATTGATGCCATCCCTAAGGAAAAGTGGTCGCGGGCCTACAATATTGAAGGACAGAGGTACGGTCATATGACAACAAATTTGGCTGAATCTGTCAACAGGGTTTTGAAGGGGGCCAGAAATATGCCGATAACCGCATTGGTTAAGCACACATATAGCAGATTGGTTCATTATTTTGTTGAGCGAGGTACAAAAGTCGTTGCACAACTTGAATCAGCTCATCGTCACTGCAAAAATGTTGTTGAATTGGTCAAGAAGAACCAGGTAGATGCAACCGGCCACCATGTTCGTGCATACAATGTCGAACATACTGTCTTCGAGGTTGACACAGGTTGGGAGCGTTCATATTCTGTCAATCTCCCACAGGGATTCTGTCAGTGTGGAAAGTTTAAGGCCTTCAAGTATCCGTGTAGTCATGTCACTGTTGCTGCTTTAAGTGTTAGGCAGAGTCCGTTCACGTACGTAGACGATGTCTTCTTGACAAAAAACTTGGTCAAGGCTTATTCTTTTCCGTGGGAGCCAATCGGCAACGAGGAAGCAATACCTGAATTAGGTGGTGCCAAGATTATTCCCGATAAAAATATGTTGCGTGCAAAAGGTCTTCCAAAGTCAACTCGCATCCGCAACGAGATGGACGAAGTTGAGACAAGTCAAAGCCGTATTAGGTGTGGACTTTGCAAGGAACGCGGCCATAATCGTCGAGGATGTCCAAATCGTGGGAGAAACGACTGATAGTCTTAGTAATTGTATTTTGCATATGCGTTATTTTATGTCTTAAATTGTAATGTTCGTTATGTTGGACTATTTCCTTTACGTATGTTTTATTGTCGTAGTGATTATCCGCCTGGATTAGTTATACCGTGTCATACATGCATTAATGTTGACGTACAAAACATAAATACTAAAGAGGTGTAATGACCAAAAAAAGCATAATAATGTCCAGTCCACATATACATACAAAAAGTAATAAAGTCGTAACTAATACAAAAAAACCCTACAGAGCAATGAAACTACGACCAAGGTGGCCATGGCCTATGACGAGCATCCCTATCTGGCAGTATACGTCTGTCCCAAACTGGGTCTCCCTGAGGTGCCGGTGGTGGTGGAGTCTGGAAATCATACATGGCTGCACGCATGAAATCATCTGCAGGTCCTTGCCCACCAAAACCTGAAGTACTGGCCTGAAAGTGGGATGGCGTGACTCCCTGACTGTGGGTCTCATCACTGTCATGGCTCTCGGTCACAAGGCCTAGCATCTGATACATGTCGTTCGTATCCTGAACAGACCAATGCAGCACATTTGCATCAAGTCCTTGTGAAAACTGCTAGAATGAAGGCTGGGAGTAAGCCTGATCCGCCCCTGCCATGGCCATGGGACTGGCCTGGAACACTGGCTCCTGTGAGTCCATGTATGGATGCTCAGAATCTGGCTGGCTAGGACCTGCCGCATCCTGCGATCCGTGATGATACATCGGCTGGGACCCGTAAGTAGTCCCTATGAGTGGAGGTCTGAACCATCCCTGTGTCTCGACAACTGGTCTCGGGGCAATAATCAAAATAGGGACAGCTGCAACTCGCTCACGGGTACGTCCTAATCTGCGTCCCTCCTGTCTATTACGAGGAACATCCACGATCAACTGAGGATCAGCCTGTGTCTGCACGGGGGGTGCCTCAGGTCCAGGCTCATCAACTCGTGAATTCTCACGAAACATTCCAATAATCCAGCCAATCTCCTCGTGGATATACTCTAGGCCGATTCGAGGAAACTCCTCCACCGTTGTTGCATGATAAAGCATTTCAAGACCGTCAATCTGTATATTACGAAAATGTGTTAGAAATGTGAAACAAATGTAAAATATGTATGTTTGTTAGAATTTGTCATAAACTCACCATGCGGCCAATCTTCGTTTCCCTCCGAGATATGTAGCGCTTTCCCTCACTCTGTACCACTCTATGTACGCATGATTAGGTGACATCAAACCAAATAATGGAGGTGGCAAAAAATTATGCTGCACCCTGGTATTCCATCTTTCAATGTGAGCCCTCATCTTACGTCTCCAGTTCTCTTCAACCTTTCCCCGTAGAGTATGATCATGTATCCCTCTCAACTTTCTAGACACATCCGGGATGGGTTGATCAAGACCGAACTGTCGCATGCACCTATCCGGTTGACATGCCTCTACTGTGTGGAAGTAGATAAGAGGTGTGACAGCAAGCCACAGGTACTGCTGCTCTGGAGTCACGTCGAGCCACTGATATTCAAAATATGGTTGCCACACCACCTACAAACAAAATGATAAACAATATATAGAGTAACAAAAAAAATAATTTAATGGAGAAATAACAGCATCGTAAGTATCCAACACCTAACCTCATCTCTACACAGTGTGTCCAATGTTGCCGGATAATGGGTGACCTCATGAGGTTTAAACTTTTCTACCGTATTAAACCTGTCATCAGAAACATACATTTTCAATCATAATCAAGAAGTATACAGTTAGTATATACATTATCAACCATACATTATCGAAATCAAATGAAGTTAATAAAGCATACCGGCATCCACAATGTGTGCTCGGCTCTGGAGGAGGAGGAAGGGGTGGAGCAATGGGTGGGAATCGTATCCATGCCCAAATCTGAAGGAGAATATGGCAACCACCCATGTCAGTTCGCCGGGCATCTGTCAATTCACACAAATTCCTGAACAAGTGTGACAAAATCGCAGATCCCCAGCTGAATCGGCCAATGTCCTTAAATCCTCCGCCTAGCAACAGGACAAGCCGGTAACCAAAATTGCTACCTCCAGACTTGTCCGCCAGCAACCAAGTCCCCAGCATCCGGGCAATGTGCGCTTTTGTGAAGCAGATCTCGGCATCGTGATTCCCCTCATGATCAGTCCACCGGGTATAATGCCGATCTAAGAATGAGATGCAGAGGTCGCCGGAATGATGGAACTCACCGGCCTCTGGAACATGTCCAAAAACAGCACCACAAGCAGCGGGCCAATCCTCGGAGGTAGATCCGATGACGACAGTGCCGTCAGTTGGCAAGCCCAATATGCCTGCCACATCTTGCAAGGTGATCGTCATCTCACCTTGGGTCATGTGAAAGGTATGTGTCTCTGGTCTCCACCTCTCGCCCAGAGCACTAATTAAAAATGCACCGATCTGTGATAAATTACGCAGTTATCACGTGTTAACGAATTTTATTGAATAATTACATAAATACAAAACGATGTAAATAACATACCTGAATATGTCGCATCCTGGCAACATGTATGAATCCCGCCTGTCTGAGGTACTCTTCGACAACCTGTGGAATAACACCAGTAGGTGGCCCCCCTTGTGGCTTCCCACGCCTGGTCTTTATTTTCCTTACATGCTCGGTATTCCACACTCGTTGTGAAATATGGCCACACTGCGTCCTCTTACGGAAGATGTCCCATCTGTAAAGACCAGGTATAATGTACAAGCTGGGATCGCTAGGCTCTACATCCGATGCAGAACCCGAAGAAGATGATGAGTCAGCCATTACCCTAAACTATATCACATAAAACAACATCGAAATTAATCACATGTAATGCCTCATTTAATTTACAAATTAATTAAGCAATGCCATAATTGATTATCACAAAAATTAAGCATATGCGTCATTTATTTAACTAGAATCGAAATTAATGAAGTCCTCTTAAAATGTAGAACCGTCATTTTTTTGTAATTAAATAATAATAAAACATCGGACAAAAATAATATAATACTTACAGAATACTTAACCCTAGGTCACTACCAACTTCATAAATATGTACTAATCATCACACCTAACTTAATAACATCATACATACAAAATTTACGAAATCCCTATCACTATTTTCTAAATCACTAATTAATATGCTAAACCCTAATGCATAATTAAATATTAATAATAATAACTACGTAACAATAAAATTACTATATCATTACAACATTCATAGCATGCCACAAAATTTCTAAGTGACTATCCTATAGTTCTAAGTCTCTAATATACGATCAATCCTAACATGTATTACTAACTAGCGCTGTAATTTAAACGTATACATAGGAGGTATTACAACCTTACCTACGTTGGCAGAGCTTCGCTACGACCCGCGGTTAGAGAGAGGTTAGAGAGGTGAATGAGTGAGGAGTGAAAAAAAGGAAAGTGGGGTATATATAGGTTGCACATGAGACGCCCCTTTGGGCGTCACATGTGACGCTCCAATGGGGCGTCTTCCCCTAGGGAGAGACGCCTCAGTGGGGCGTCTCATTGTGCAACAAATGTGTAATTATTTGAAAAACAGCATTAAATGCGTAATTATTTGATTTAAATGCATTATTTTAATTTTTTTGTCGCTTGTAAGCAAAACCTACCAATTGGTTTTCCGGCTCTTTGACCTAAAAGGGTGTTTTACCCATTTAATGTACCAATTTGGTATTTGATTCCCGATATTTACCAATAGGGGTCGTTTAGTGTCGTGGGGACCCCAGCGACACTGAGTGTCTCCCCCCACCCCCTGCGACACTCACACTATTGTGCCAAGCGCCATAATCTCGTTAGTCCCGTTATCGTAAAACTTCGAAAGGTCATAACTTTTGACTCGGATATCCAAATTAGATAATTTGTTTTTTGATTTCACATAAATTTTTGAGATCTACGCAATAACACTTCATTTGACATATTTTATCTTCCATAGATATAGTTCAAATTTGCAACAATAGTTCTATCTATTAGAGTTGCAGCAGCACCTGTGTGAGACAATAATTAATTTCAAATTTTGTTTTTAAAAAATTTCGACGACTCTGATTTGTAAGCATGTGACACCATTGATCTTTTTTGATCTAACGACTATCAGACGAGGTGTCAAATTTCAAATTTAACACCGGTGTCAAAGGATTCAACCTCATATATATATATATATATATATATATATATATATATATATATATATATATAAGAGAGAGAGAGAGAGAGAGAGAGAGAGAGAGAGAATGGTTATACATGTAGTCTATGAAAATAATAAGAATATTTTTGAACTTCTTTATTGTGCACAAAAGTTATCATATCATTGATTGATTGCTATGCCTCAATTTTCTGACCCACTTGATATATTTTTCGCTTATGAATATTTACATATCAAACCTTCAAGTAAATTTGAATTATTACCGTAACGACGCTTTTTATCATGTTGATATTGGATGAGTATAAAATGTTCAACTCTTGACACTGCAATTCTTTTGGAGTGAAAATATAGAAACATTTCAAGTAATTATACTACTTAATTAGGGATTATTATATTATGTAAATATTTTTTCTTATTTTGTAATATTGTTTTTTACTTTTTTGGATTTTGTAATAATTGCACTATTAAGGCAGGGATACTATTTTAATTTATAAAACTTTCCATATTTTTAGAATCTTATTATTTTTTTAATTATTTTTTATTAGGATTTGTTGAGAATTTGACCATCTTAGTTATAAATAAATTTCTGGTACCAGATTATGTAACAAATCACTCTAGATCTCCCTATTCTTCTTTCAAGGTGTCAACAATGTCATCTGCACCCACACATTATTGTCTTTCACCCATTTCACAACAGTATTTCATGATACCAAGTACCAATTACAGCATTACCTTAGAGGTTGGAAGCGTAGAAGCATCATCAAACAATGACGTTAAAGGAGTCACTATAGAGTTACAAGTACAACAATGGTACAAT